GTACGATTTGTCTGAGTGTATACGATGGAAGTATAGAAATTGAAAAACGTCAAAGATAACTTATCTTAGAGACGCAGAACATGTTTGTTTTTTATTATTTTTTTAGATCAATATTCAACTTTCGGTTTTTGTCCCGAGCAAGCTCGAATGAAAGCTCTATGACTGATGTGGCACAAATCTGCCTAAAATCGAATTCAGCCGTACCTAGATACGTTCTAGTTTACCTATAAGTACAAGATCAATAGTCTCTGATCTTTCTGATCTCTCAAATCCAGTTTACATTTGACATCCAAGTGCTAACAATCTATTACATTTTAACAATATACTTGAAATTCCATAAAAAATACACGAAAAGAGACTCCTCTTAAGCCTTTATCCACTTGATTCACCTTTCTATAATAAACGAGAGTCATGATTTTCCGCACTATCAAAATAATGACACCCACCCACTTCCTTATTCAATCGTGAGATAAGGTGTTACGTTAGGATTTGGTTCAAATATAAATATTGTCTATGAAATTGTCTGACCTTACAGATTCATGTCTTCACAGTTCGTGATTTCAAAGTTGAATACTTACATAGTCTACATTAAGAAACATTTACGCCCGTATTCACAAACGTTACTACGAAAGAAAGAAAGAAAGAAAAAATATTTAGTTTGAAGTCTCACAGTGCACGTGGACGCACAGGGTGACACACGAACCAATCACAGAGCTGTATTTAACGCCAACGCAAGCATCGTTTATGAATAAAAAACGGGCAGATGAATTTTTTCATTTCTTCACATTTTAATAACTAAAATCTTCAAGCCTATTTCGCCCTTAACTTTAACAAGTACTTAATAACGTTTAAATTATCTAGAACCGTTATTTTTCAAAGAATAATTACCTTGCTATTGTCTCATTCATCAACACAAGATTTTATAAAACTAAGGATAATAATTCCTAATTTATTTTGGATAAATGTGAACAATTTCCTAATGAAAGCAGATAGTAACTTTTTCCACATTTACGTTTATGAGTCCATTACACTGCCGTTATATCTTTTCAAATAGAGGATAGTAGCCCAGAAATGATCCGTCACTGTCCTACAACTTTCGGGATGTAATCATACCTACATCATAGTACATATGTTAGTTTCGTGTAATGTAATAACGCCTTCTTGATTCATATAAAGTCGGATCGTGTTTGGTTATTTATTTTATATTTGGTTAACGAAGTTATATCTTATGTAAGTGTATATTTGAACAGTGGTATTACCTTATAGAGAGACCCATATACATAATGTTAAACGAGTAGTAATTATCCAAAATAATTTTATTTTATAATGATGATAAAATGAAAGCATTCACGCATGAGGGATTTAATTAATGCTGCTGACAACACCACTCTTGTAGCGGAGTTTTGGGCTGACACTGTGTAGGTTTGTTATCGACACGATAAGAAGATACGAATCCGATATGATTTTAGATTGTCAACAGTGACATCATTACAATATGCATCAGCGTTTTAGAATAAGTACCTATCAGTCTTCCAGCAACACATTTATAGCGTTCTTTCTTAAAATAAAAGACAATTCGAGCACCAATCTGCACATTTAGCATTTTTAGAAAATGCCAAGAGCCTTTTTGCTCAGGCGTTTCACGTTCCTAAAACGAATAATAGAAATTAATGCATGCACGTGTTCGTAGTTCTAGCACATCTAGACTCCTTAACAATACAATTAAACTAGAAACACGTCCTTTCAGTTTTACCTCACTCGTCAGTACTCGTGTTAAGAGAAAACCTATGTCGAGAGCAGGTTGGGGCAGAGTGCAAATTTAGCGCCCTTTGATAATACTCTACACCGCCTTAAAGTGTTTCTCACACAGTATATTTACCTGGAATACAGATAGACTTGTATCTAGATAGTTAAATGCTTTAACTGAAACTTATGAACATTTTTAACATACATTTAGTTTATGGGATCTGAGAAGGCGAGAGTGAGTAAATAAATATCCTTGGACATTTTACACTGCGCTTCTAGTCCCAAACTAAGCAAAGCTTGTACTATGGGTACAAGACAACGGATATAAACATACTTAAATACTTTTTTGTAAATACATACTTATTATTATACATAGAAATAGGCACTTACAGGGCAGATATTATTATGTACCATCCTAGACTGCATCTCACTTAACACTAGGTGCGATTGCGGTCAAATACCAGCCTTGTTCGGCATAAAAAATGTATTCTAGAATAAGTTTTATTAAGAAAAGTTATATTTAAGTACAGATACAAACCTGTTATTCGTGTAAATATTGTAATTTAAGCGTCGTATTAGAATACGAGCCCAACTCCTCGTAAACGAAGTACACGACACTTAAAATGATAAGTGACTGTAAGTAATTTTATTGGATACCAATGTAGTGTATATTTACCCAATCTCCTTGACCTAAAAACAATAAAACCAATATCGAAAATTGAGTTGGTAATTGGTATGTTTGTTTTCAATTTTCTACAGCGCGGTAAAACCAATCTTAATATATTGACATGCAATTTAGAAATACTTACTTAAATTACTATTTAGAACATCGAAATATAGCTATGGTTTGGCGCGCTGATTCGTCTTAATACTAAATCATCTCTGCGAGTATAGTTTGTGGTATAGATTGGAACCAAACACACAATTTTGGAGTTCATACAAAATTCATTGTTTTAACTCTTTAAATATTTAATCGAATTTCACTTTAATAATGAATACCGCATATATTTTCGATAACTAAATTCTTTAGAATAGGTTTCGACAACGAAAAGAACCGCCCACGCTATATCACAAAAAACGTTCACTTTGTGTAAAACAAGATACCAGTTTTTGGTAATATTTAATTAACTGTAGAGTATTATTGACCTTTGACGTTTCATGGTGGCCTCTAACGACTAAAACATGATTGGTATCATTAAAAATCTAATAGTGGCAACAATACAAAAATATTAAATAATTTCATACACAGATAACGTTAGGTGGGTAGTTTTAGTAACTATGTATATCACAAAAGTACTACAACTTCACCCATATTCTGAGTAAACACGGGCTCGTTATATTAAGGACAAAACTTCACTATTCTCTAAGGGACGTAATGGACCCTGACAATTACTCCCGTTCCGTGTACGGGAGATATGCATAATAATATACGGATAAAGCCTTACTTACCCGTAAACGTTCACCGAAATCAAATTTGACCGCAAAAACTGGAGTCGGCGAACCAATCAATTACAACATCCTACTCTCTCGTGTGTAACAATCAGATTATTCACACAGATCACACACACAACACAATCACATATTATTAATAATAACACTGTGCGTCACTGTCTGGTCACTGTACGCGGTGCTACGGGCTACGGGCTACGGAGCTCTACGACCGCAGCGTGTGCTACGGACTACGCGCGCACTACGACTGCCGTAGCTACCCCGCCCCGCGCCGCTCCTGTTTAGGGCAGCATTACAATAAGTATTTCGTATTTTATTTGGCCGTTAGATGCAATTTTATTTCTTTATACATATTTCAATGTGCTTGAATTATTATGAAATGTAAGTTTCAGTGAAGATAATACAATAATTATTATTCGTAGTAAAAATGCCGAGATAACTTTTGAATAATACTTACGTATTTTTCTTCAAATAGATACTCGAAATATATCTAAATATGATCTGATTTCAAAGGTTTATAAACATCTCATATCAAAATATTGTTTTGTAAATGTCTCTGAGATGTACTTTGAAACGACCGCGTCCTTTTTCATTCAAAAGAAATTAACTTTACTTTCAGGTGAATTTTCTCCGTCGTTTTGTGTAATTTAAAGGTCAAATTCAAAGCACTTATTTTAATGGAATAAAAAATAGAGAGTGTTGTTTTCATTTGTATAAATATGTATTATTTATAAGTGTACAACCAACCATAAAAACTGTATGGTCTGAGTTTCTTATCACCTTGAGAACAGAGGTCAGTGTATTCGAATAAATATACAAAGTACAGGTCGTATTGCTATACAACAAAGTGGTTTTCACTTTAATCAATGTGAAACATTTCAAATGATACTATTCTGATTCTAGAAAACTACATATAAAAGTGAAATGGAACTCTAATACTTCGAAATAAAGGTCAAGGGTAACAAAATGCATTGTAAACACCTTTCAATCACCATTTGGCGAACTAACGAGCCTGACCGCTCGCTTTTACACGTTCGAGTAGTTTTGAACTTCACCTTTAAGATAATTTTAAACAATAGATCGTTTTCATTTTCTTAAGGTGGATTTATATTTGTCTGTCGTGTTGTGTCGTAATACATCAGAAGGGAATCAGTTTCATCAGAAGCCATTACGACTCGACACAACACTCTAAGTTAAACGTTAACATAGTTAACATGGAAAGCATCGGGGGAGGCCTATGTTCAGCAGTGGACGTCCTATGGCTGAAATGATGATGATGATTCTCTCGCAAAGGTTATGTTTTTGTAACTTTCTCAAATTGTATCCAAAACTCTGTGTTACCTTTGTGAAGAGAAAACAAATATAATATACTTTTTTTTTTATTAGAATTCTGTTCTGATGCGTCACGACACAACACGCCAGACATATATGTATATCCACCTTTAGCTGTACCTTAAAACTTATCCATAGATCAAGTTAGAGAGTTGGTTTTATCAGTGCACTTGACAAATAAGGGTCGAGCACGATAATATCGCCGGCCTTAGCTTTGTTATGGAGGACTGCGAAGAGAGTCCGATAAGTAGTTGGAAAAAAGAGGTTGGGAGGAACTATTTCTTGAGAGATGTTGGAGACCTATATGATTACCTTTTTTACTATTTTCTATTTTTATTGGCTATCGCACTTTAACGTGATAAAAAGACTAAGGCTGAGTTGCACCACCAAACTTTGACCATAACTATAACGATAACCGGTGATTTTTGTATGGAGTTTGACAGATTTTTGACGTTTGTTACAGTCAAATTAAGATGGTGCAACCCAGCCTTCAGGTAGGCAAGGTAGATAAAAAATATAAAAATATTGATAAAAAAGACTATACTAATATCCTTTTGTATAGTTACTGTCTCATTTAAATTTTAAAAATTTAATTTATATCAATTATTATCGACTTAAATTTTAAATATTTTAATTACCTGTTTTTTATTAATAACAGTATTATCCATATTTTAGTTATTTAAATAATAATTAAACCTTTTACTAAATATGTTGCGGAAAACCACTTGAACCTTGAAACGGATTGAAAGATTATTAACCTTTTGGCGGTTATCACACTGCGCCGCGCTCCGACAGATTTAATCATTGTATGCAAGTACCTCAGTTTGTATAGAAAACACGCGCGGCACTTCACACTGACAACGCGTCCGCGCGCGTGATTTTTTATATGAAAATCACGCGCTCCGCGGCGGAGCGCGGCGCAGTGTGATAACCGCCTTTCAGTGCCAAGTCAAATACAAAAGCCATCACTCTGTCGCCACGCTTGATAAGTCATGATATCAATATATCATTGTATTCATTATTAATTATTCAGTTTACATAATACTCAATTAGCCTATTACTGACAGTTAGCCTATTACTTAAGGCGGATTAATCCGTCATTGGCGGTCAACCTGATGTACGCATGTATCCGTCATTGGCGTTGAAAAGGTTAACTGAAATTAATCGCTTACTTTCTATCCTTAAATTGAAACGAATATTATTATCTAGTTATCTAAAAAAGATAATAATGTTCGTAACACGCAATCCACTCATCGTAGATACAATTTGTAAGATTTTATCAAAGACTAGCTGTGCCCGCGACTTCGTCCGCGTGGACTAATGACTTTGGNGTAAACATAACAGCCTTTGGCTTTATAAATGACCACGTGTGTTCTATTAAAATGCTAGCTTTATAACATCGTACAAGTAGGCCGTTAGACAGCGGTTGCCGTATCTCTACCCTCCTATAATGCTCTTAGTCAGATGGCTGACTAAAGGATAGTTGTTAGAGTATTATAACACCAACAATCGTATAAAAGTATAACTCTACACTAGTCTACACTCCTGTAAGTCCCTTAGACAGGTATAGGTGTAATTAATTGCAATAATACAGCTTATACATCACGAGTGAACTGTACTAATGCTTTAAGTACACATTGGAACTAAATGTGAACTCTTAAATGGAGTAAAATGTTACTTGGGTGTAACACTTTTATAAAGCTGCTGAATCACAACTTTTAAGGGCAGATTTTTCATATCTTTTAACTGAAGAATAACCTTGTCATTTTGACATATTTCCCATACTAAAACTGTCAATGTGTCAAACTTATTCTTCAGATAAAAGTAATTCGACGGTTGAAAAATCAGCCCTAAGTCAAATGCAGACTAGAGTACCTCTTATGGCAAATGTAGCTCACACAATATCTGTCTAATCTCATACATAAAAAGCGTCTTCCATAAAGTGTTATATCAAATCAAATGTTAAGTAAAGTTGATCAACACTTGACGTGAATTTTATTTACGTCTACGTTCTTGAGCCAACATTTGTTGTAAGCCAATTTGTACATTATCAAGTTGTAATAGGATTTTTTTCTTATTATTTTATATCATTTTAATGAATTGCCATCCTGTATCACATGGTCAAGTTTATTGATCGTTACAATAGTCTGCATTTGTCTTGCAAAGTAAATGTCAATGTGCCAAGAACTATGTCTCTGTGAATAAACTCCAGCTCAGAGAGGAAAGAAGAAATAAACGCCACTGTATAAGCCGCAGTCAAAAGAAATCTAGCTAGGCTTGAAAATGTTGTAAAATAATAGCCTAGCTGACTGCTTCAAATTGTATATTGTTACTAACAATCATTAGAATAGTGTATTGTAAGTGACATGCTGAAATATTTTGTGTTATATGTTTTTGACTTGTGTTCAACTGCGAAATCTTGACTGAAAAAATATTCGCTAATCGGCGCATATTTTGCTAACCTACGTGTTACAATGTTACTTATGTAATAACCCTTCTTGCTATTAAGTTCATGATTAACATCGTTATTAACAACGACATAAGCTAATCCTAAACCTAAAGTTGCCATCACAAGGGACTAAAAGACCCACGGTTTCTACCTAAAAAGTAGAGAGAGAGATGTGCTGCAAAGCTGACAGTTTTTTATGTTATCTGTTCTGTGTCCATAATTTTATATGTGCAAAAGATCTATGTATTTTATCAAAACCATACATAGTATAATCAGTTCACAATTACACAACAAAATTCCCTTCCAGCTGTCTACGAACCAGAGGAAACCGGGCCGGAGGAACCGGCAGTATGTTTTGTCCCTCTCGGCTCGGGCGAGTTCGAGGGAGACGCACTCGAGCAGTCGATGCTGTTACTTGGAGATGGCTTGGCTAGTGGGGCAGCGTTGAAACAGTATGAGACGTTACTAAGGAGGCTGCCTGACGAACCGTCCAACGTGTCCAAACTGCCGCACAATTTGAACAAGAACCGGTATAGGGATATAGCGCCATGTAAGTAAAGGTTAACTTTGCCATACACTTTTGGGACTTTGAATAGTTCGCGCAACGAGAGTTGAGGCCATCAACACAAGTATAGATTTGTGCCTGTATACGCTGTCAGCGCTGACGTCTTGCGTAGTCGGACTGACAAGTGATATTTAAAAGATCGAAGTAGTGTATTCGATATTTGAACTTGAATGTGTAATGTTTTGTTTTTGTTTAGTATTCAATTATTACATAAGTGTCAGTCCGTGTTTGCCTCAACTTTCGTTGAGCGACCTATACACACGTGACCATAGGTTTCGTTTTTTCTATAATTTGTGCACTAATCGCATGTTGTCAGATATTCAAAGTATGTCCATTGATGAATGTTGTCGACTTTATAAATAGGTGATCTTAATGTCCAAGGTCTTTTATATTCGATTTTGGCAACACTTTTCAAACATAGTTGTGGATAATTTGGTGTCAAACTTATCAATGCTGTGGTGCTTGTTACAGATGATTCTACTAGAGTGATATTGAAGAACGGACCAACTGGTGACTATATCAACGCTTCGTACATCAACATGGAAATACCTAACTCTGATCTCGTATTAACGTATATTGCAACACAAGGTGAGAATCAAATTTATCAAACATTTTAGAAAAAAAAATGCTTGCGTTAGGATTCTGTTTACCGCAATAGTCCATCGGACGACGGGATACGAACCAGCTTTCTTCGGATCTCAAATCGGCCATTCCGACTCATATACCGATGAGCTAGAGGTCGCCTATAGAAATCTGATAAAAAAGACTACAGAATGAAAAACTAAGTGAAGACTAAGATTTGCTGCAGCATCGCAGCCGAAACGTCAAGCCGTGAGTACATCTTCTTCTTAGTCGGGCACTCTTGTCAGTGGTCGTGGTTGCGCTGACGAGGTACATGGTGGGATGATGTCATCTCCGAGGGTAGCTCTCCTGGCGATGTGCTTCCATTTCTGACGGTTAGAGGCGTCGCGAGTACACTGGACCATGGTGGACTCCGTGGCCTTCGTGAGTACATAATGTAACTCATTTATAAACGTCGCGTTAAGACCCGTGTCTTACTATTTTAATTCAAAGACTATCTTTCAATTTTGATTCTAGATTGTTATCCCAACACTATTTCCCTACCTATGTTACGTCATCCCAAGCAGTAATGTCTGTGGCCGTGTAGCATCAAAATCAAACTTTTTGTTAAATACCTAATGTTATTATGCTCTTCAGGTCCTCTCGCATCAACAGTAGGTGACTTCTGGCAGATGGTATGGGAGAGTGAAAGCAGCCTCATAGTCATGTTGACGGTCCTAGCCGAGCGAGGTCGGGCCAAATGTCACCAATATTGGCCCAAACTTGCCTCCACACCGATGAAAGCCACGAATAGCTTGACGGTTACCACTACTAGCGAGCAGAATAGAGGACATTATACTCAAAGGGAAATGTGTCTTAAGGTAAGCTGTTAGGGTTTAAAATAGCAATTACTTAAAAGTTGTTTCTAAGGGATGCCATCAATATTGGCCCAAACTTGCCCCCACACCGATGAAGGCTACAAATAGCTTGACGGTTACTACTACTAGCGAGCAGAATGGAGGACATTATACTCAGAGGGAAATGAGTCTTAAGGTAAGCAGTTAAAGTCTAGAATATCGAGTATTTTACAGTAGTTTTATTTTAGTGATACTTCCAATGTTGGCCCAAACTTGGCTCTACTCCGTTGAAAGCCGCAAATAGCCTGACTATTACTTACTAGTAGCAGAACTAGCCAGCTAGAATAAAGGACATTCAGAGACAAATGTGCCTTAAGGTAAGCGGTCTTGAAACCCGAGTATTTTACAGTAGTTTGTTAGTAACGCCACTGATATTTGCCCTACTAGATGTTGCTTTTATTAGTGAGTAAAAAAGTGATATTATACTAAGAGTTTGCTTTGAGGTACGCAGTACTTAGGTCTTGAATCACAATCACTTTAACACTAGCTTTTTATGATTGCCCAATATTGGTGGCATTTTAGTGGCAAGTGTCACCAGAGCAAATCCTTACTCCGTAATATAAGTGACATATAAAACCTGCTTTGATGACAAAGGAAGATAATATTACTCTCATTGTTTCTCGACTTTATAAATATGTGTTTCGTTGTCGTTGTAGATTGTTATTTCCATATTAACTTTGTGTCCCACTGGGTAAACGTTTCCCCAGTCTTTAAAAACAATATTTCTCACTAGGATGAGGTTTCATCAAATTCTTTCAAATGTTTCAATTTGTTACCAGGACAACAACGGTGCGTCCCGCATCGTGACGCAGCTCCAATATACCGCGTGGCCCGACCATGGGGTTCCTGACGACTCCGCCGCCTTCATACAGTTCACGCAGCTATGCTCTGAACTTAGAAACCATAGAGCTGGTGAGTACATACTTAGTTTTATTTAGCCAAATTACGTCTAGTGCTGGACAAAGGCCTCCCCTAAGGATTTCTACAACGACCGGCCTGCGCTACCCGCATCCAGGTACTTCCTGCAACCTTCACCAGATCGTCGGTCCACCTAGTGAGAGGCCTGCCCACGCTACGTCTTCCAGCTCGTGGTCGTCACTCAAGAACTTTTCTGTCCCAGCGGCCATATTCAGCTCTACAAACTGTGCATCGGCAATTCTGTGGGCTATGGTTTTCCTGCGGATCTCATTTCTGACTCAAACAGAGAAACTCCGAGTATAGCACGCTCCATCACTCATTGGGTGACCTTGAGCCTTTTTATCATAGTAAGGACCACGTCTCCATTCCGTATATCAGTGTACACTTATACCATATAACAACGGTGCGTCCCGCGTCATGACGCAGCTCCAATACACCGCTTGGCCGGACCACGGAGTTCCTGACGACTCCGCCGCCTTCATACAGTTCACACAGCTATGCTCTGAGCTAAGGAACCATAGAGCTGGTTAGTAAACACTTAGTTATCATCATCTCATTTCAGCCACAGGACGTCCTCTGTTGAACATAGGCCTCCCTCTATGGTTTCCACCTTGACCGGTGGTCTGCAATACTCTGCATCCAACGCATTCCTGCTACTTTTATGTGGTCTTCACTTGAACACTTATACCTCCTGTATATTATAAAATAAAAGGATGAAGAGAAATAGAGGTGGTATCTAATTTAGCTGAAACATTTAGTATAGTCTCTTGCACATACGATTTGATTTAGCTTGTTGAACTGAGATTAATTTTTAATTAAGAGTTAACGTCCTTCACAAGCCCGTACTCGTTATTATTGTGTGATGAATCAAAACTTTATTTCTGTTTTGCAGTAATACCAACAGTAGTCCAAGAGCCAGACGCCGAAGAGGAACGCCTACTGGACCCGCCGCTCATAGTGCACTGCTCAGCCGGCGTCGGCCGCACCGGCGCGCTCATACTGGCCGAGACCGCGCTCGAGCTGCTGTCTCGGAGGCAGCCGCTGTATCCGCTGGATCTAGTGCGCGCCATGAGGACGCAGCGCCCCATGTGCATACAGAACGCGGTGAGTGACGTCACAGCCGGGCCGTGTCGCTGCAGCCGCTGTATCCGCTGGATCTAGTGCGCGCCATGAGGACGCAGCGCCCCATGTGCATACAGAACGCGGTGAGTGACGTCACAGCCGGGCCGTGTCGCTGCAGCCGCTGTATCCGCTGGATCTAGTGCGCGCCATGAGGACGCAGCGCCCCATGTGCATACAGAACGCGGTGAGTGACGTCACAGCCGGGCCGTGTCGCTGCAGCCGCTGTATCCGCTGGATCTAGTGCGCGCCATGAGGACGCAGCGCCCCATGTGCATACAGAACGCGGTGAGTGACGTCACAGCCGGGCCGTGTCGCTGCAGCCGCTGTATCCGCTGGATCTAGTGCGCGCCATGAGGACGCAGCGCCCCATGTGCATACAGAACGCGGTGAGTGACGTCACAGCCGGGCCGTGTCGCTGCAGCCGCTGTATCCGCTGGATCTAGTGCGCGCCATGAGGACGCAGCGCCCCATGTGCATACAGAACGCGGTGAGTGACGTCACAGCCGGGCCGTGTCGCTGCAGCCGCTGTATCCGCTGGATCTAGTGCGCGCCATGAGGACGCAGCGCCCCATGTGCATACAGAACGCGGTGAGTGACGTCACAGCCGGGCCGTGTCGCTGCAGCCGCTGTATCCGCTGGATCTAGTGCGCGCCATGAGGACGCAGCGCCCCATGTGCATACAGAACGCGGTGAGTGACGTCACAGCCGGGCCGTGTCGCTGCAGCCGCTGTATCCGCTGGATCTAGTGCGCGCCATGAGGACGCAGCGCCCCATGTGCATACAGAACGCGGTGAGTGACGTCACAGCCGGGCCGTGTCGCTGCAGCCGCTGTATCCGCTGGATCTAGTGCGCGCCATGAGGACGCAGCGCCCCATGTGCATACAGAACGCGGTGAGTGACGTCACAGCCGGGCCGTGTCGCTGCAGCCGCTGTATCCGCTGGATCTAGTGCGCGCCATGAGGACGCAGCGCCCCATGTGCATACAGAACGCGGTGAGTGACGTCACAGCCGGGCCGTGTCGCTGCAGCCGCTGTATCCGCTGGATCTAGTGCGCGCCATGAGGACGCAGCGCCCCATGTGCATACAGAACGCGGTGAGTGACGTCACAGCCGGGCCGTGTCCCTGCAGCCGCTGCAGCCGCTGGATCTAGTGCGCGCCATGAGGACGCAGCGCCCCATGTGCATACAAAACGCGGTGAGTGACGTCACCCGCCGTCGGCCGATCTTACTGGCCGAAACTGCGATGGATCAAAATGCAACTCTGCAGACTAATATAGGCTTTTAAAGGAGAATCAAAATCTTAAATGTGCTGCAAAAAACGATAGTTAACTTTGCAAGTTTTTCCCCCGGTTTGTGGTCTATGTTCAACAGTGGAAATGATGATGATGATGAATTTTTGTTCAAGGTGGCAGTTACGTTGTAGGTTATGTCAAAAAGGATTCGTATTGTGTCGTATGGAATCTTACTTATTCGGCTTTATCTTCGCAAACTGCAGTTTAAATCTCTCGAACATGATTGCGCTCGATACGATTGATCTTGCGCTGCTTCTTCTCAGCACTGGCCCATTTATTGTCCCGAAGCAGTAGTAGGGTTAATACTGGGACGTGTAAAAGTGTGTTTTTTTTAAAGCATACTAGCAAAAATAAATTATTTTTATGGGTTTTAACACAACAAGCGTTATCCTTTATCACTTTAAATAATATTTCTCTTTGTTCACAGAACCAATACAAGTTTGTATGCGAGAGCATCCAAGCTGCGTACGCGCAAGGCCTTTCGAGCGCGGCGTCCGACTGATAGCATCTAATCCCGCGGTGCAGCGCCGTCGAACTGTTAGTATAGTCACAAGAACTTTGCTAGTGTTAAGTGTGCGCGATTTTGACTCTTATTGTCACAGTCATAGAAGTCAGAAAGATGTGCTGCGACTGCGAGACTGACCTTTATAGCAGCACTGGAAAGAACGTAGTAGTAGAGAAATAAGCCGCGCGATTTTGACTCGTATATCAACTGACCCCACGGTGCAGTACCGTCGAACTGTTAGTATAGTCACAAGAACTTTGCTAGTGTTAAGTTTGCGCGATTTTGACTCCTATTGTCACAGTCATAGAAGTTAGAAAGATGTGCTGCGACTGCGAGACTGACCTTTATAGCAGCAATGGAAAGAACGTAGTAGTAGTGAAATAAGCCGCGCGATTTTGACTCGTATATCAACTGACCACACAGTGCAGTACCGTCGAACTGTTAGTACAGTCACAAGAACTTTGCTAGTGTTAAGTTTGCGCGATTTTGACTCCTATTGTCACAGTCATAGAAGTTAGAAAGATGTGCTGCGACTGCGAGACTGACCTTTATAGCAGCACTGGAAAGGACTTAAGAATAAATAAGCCGCGCGATTTTGACTGTCATCATCTGATTCCGCGGTGCAGTACCGCTGAACTATTTATAGTCACAAGAAAGAACTATAGTATTGATAAGTTTGCCGCGGGATTTTGATCCCTATTTGTCACATTAGAAAGAGTCATAGTGGTGAAAAAGGTTTGCTGCAAAACTTTTGCCTATATTGAAGGACTGGAAAGGACTAATTAGTGACAAGTTTGAAGTGCGACTTTGACTCGTATTGACACATTGGAAATAGTCATAGAAGTAAAGAAGGTTTCCTGCAAGACTTTGACCCTTATTGCAACACTGGCAAGAACTATAGTAATTGCGTTTTGACACATTGTCACATAGCTCTTTCAGCAATGGGCGCGTTTATGTATTTTATTTAATGTGATGTCTTCATTATACATAATTTATGTAAGTTTATCTGTTATTTAGTCGTGTAGTAGCGGCTAGATGGTTGGTTTGATAATTGGAACAATGTAATGTATTATTTATTGTTTTTTATTTGTAGTTTATTTATCATATTGGTCATTTGTGTTCCGCAAACTTCTACTAACATACTGTTGTAGAAGTTTTTAAATTGATGTTCTAAAACTATTTGCAACTGCCTATGTTTGAATGAGAGTTGCGATAATTTAACAGGTAGATAACTATCCTAGTCGTCTTTGGACGTTGCCTCCGCCTTGTAAACATTTTCTATCCCTTTTCTTCACCTTTTCAATTTAGATGTTAGTTTAACTAAACGTTTTAAGTACTTTTCTTAATAGAGTAAAAGATCTAAGACGATCTTTTACCTGGTTTCTATAATAAAAGGCATTTTAGAGCCTTAATGATTGATGCGATGAACATAAATAAGAAATATAATTATTATTTTACGTTTGCATGAAAACGTCTACCTAATACTGAGATGCTACGTCACAACCTATTTATTAATCATTATATCATCACATTTCGCATAATAAAAGGTGCATAACGTCTGATTTGGTAGTTAAAAGTAACGATAGGTTCTATTAATATTCACTTTGCCACGTGACTTTACTTCAGACTATTTTATGTTGACAGCACGTCTACCTGTCTTAGTCTTCAAATCCATTGGATTTTAAATTTTATATCTTCAGTATTAAGGTTCAAAGTTTGCTGTCGACTGTAAAATTACGTAAGTTTAGGCGTGGACTATACAGGCCACGCCCCGAGTCACGTGACAATGTAAATAAACAATACAGGGTGATGATTTCAATGAATGCTTGAATGTTAGAATTTTAAATTAGTTTTTTTTCTCGCTCCTATGGATACTTGGCAAACATTGAAATCAAAATCTAGTGAAGTCGATAAAATATAATAATTAAAATTCAAATCTGTCGCAACTCTATGTGTGACGTATTAACGAATTGCATTAGTTTAATATAAACTAAAACTTAATAAAAAATCGAGACCAATTTGACCAAAAAGACTTGAATAGATAAGAAATTTGGTTCTCAACGATGTTATTGGGTGTAAAAATTATTGTAAGTGGTTTGGTAAGGGGTGCTATACACCTAAGCGGGTCTTTATTTGCACTAGGTGGTAATGTAGATGAATGTTCGCGAAATAAGTGTAATAATAGAATGCGATATAAAGTACACTTTGTCGTTTAATATCGAATGTGCCCGACTCCTGATCCCTTTGTAGTGCAAATGTTAAAAATCATTGCTTTTCGACCTTATGATAACCGAAGGTTCAAATTATGGTGGCAATGTATTCTCAAATGCTTACGTGTCTACCGCCCCTTAGATGGTTATGATGGAAATTCGAGCATTTCAACGATTTAGAATAACGTTTGGGTTTTATTTGATATCAGTAGAAAACTAATTCTCGAATAAATAATTGATTATCGACCCCAAATAACATATCATGATTAAGGAATAAGATTCTTTTATTTCGTTCATATTAATTTATTTTAGATATAGTTTTTTTCTAACGCTTTTACACTGTGATTGTTGTTGATTTCAAAATAATTATAGTACCTGGTGAAAAATAATATGCGTATTTGTACAGAAAGAGATAATTTTGAAAATTACACTGTGGACTGCCAATGGCAGAACTACAGACTGTCAATTATTTTAGTCATATCTCTTGATTAACTAAATTTCATATTATCTTTTGCCAGGTACTAATCGTAGATATCTAGTAGGTGAATCTTGCCTTTCAACGAATTTAACATTTCCTAATTTTAAACAGATTATAAGTGATTTGTATTAATTTATTTTCGTATTTATATACACAGTTTTTATTGCTTCTTTTCTGTGCCATTTACGAAGAGTTGTATATCTAGTTCTAAGGATACAGATAATCATGAATAATTTATCTTCAATATTTCTGTTTAAACATTAAACCTTTTTCCTCCAAGGGTTTGTATACGTAATTTAAAAGCAATGTAAATAATTGTAACGAATGATTTGTATATTAATGATTGGATTGAACTAACTTTATAATCAATGTTTCTTAAGTTACGTGAAATTAATATAATAATAATGCATACGTAATAATTATGTACAAATTACGTGCATTTACGAGTAGTACATATCGAGCGTACGATTTTCCAAAGCGATTGATATCGATTAATGTCAACAATCGAGTACATGCCGATTATTTTCGACTAGATCTATATTTGACTGTGTAGGAATGATCGACATAGTTCAATTATCTGACTAAAGTGTTCGAAGTAGATTTATAGAGGTATATTTTCTACCTTGTGATGTGTGATTGTGGTATGCGTTATGTGGAAAAATAAATATTTTATTGAATGCTACTTGCATTTCATTCATCAACTATAGCTCTTAACTCAGCCAGTTAGTGCCTGAGGTATGCGGCGCGGCTTATGTAACATTTCATCCGAGAAAATCTGATCCGCGGATAAGTTGTCTCCCTTTCAAATTTGTTAGGTGTCGAATCATCCGCAAAATATTTATCTTCGGATGAAACGTCACCGTTTCTAACTTGGAAGATAGTTTTTTTTTATGCTGGACAAGGCAGGTATTTGACCGCAATCGCACGTGGTGTTAAGTGAGTTGCAGTCTAGGATGGTACATATCTGCCCTTTAAGTGCCTATTCACTTTCGCCTTGAAAACGCCTGGATTATAGTGTTCAGGAAATACAGCAGCAGGCAGCGAATTCCAGTCCCTAGATCTAATTAAATTAAATTAATATATTTCGGATGAGACGACACTTCAAAGTTTGAAAGGGTGACGTTTTTGATCATTTTGCGGACGATTCGACACCTAACAAATTTAAAGGGAGACAACTCATCCGCGGATCAGATTTTCTCGGATGAAATGTCACCTAAGTCCTTTTTCAGACTTCAGATTTGTACGCTCTGTAAAGTCATAAATATCTATGTCACCTCTTCCGTGCCGCTCCCATATGACTGAGTTAAGCGCTAGTTATAGTTTATTTTTTACGATTTCAAGTAGGTATATTTAGATTTTTTATTATCACAATGAGCTGTGGCCATTTATTGAAGCATGTACAAATAACCTATAGCACATCAGTTTACACCAAATCCAAAATTTTAAATATACCTTGATTTGTCAAAATGAAAATCCGTTGCGGAGTACCTACGACTCCATACAATTTTTTACGGTACTACTTTTCCTCATCGTGTGCGTTATAAAGACAGCTAAACCGTCTTGCCAGCAAGAGTGTTGTAGGCCAAAATCTCCATTTGCCTCTGGTAAACTAGAAAGTATCGTGATTCTACAATGAAGACTTATAGACTAAGAGCTAGTGAACGCCAGACCTACGTCATTTTATAAAAGCTGAAAGTTTGTCAGCGTATGCTCCCAATATAGGATATAATGTTGGTGAATTATCAAGTTTGGGTCGTGGTGGCTTTGGGAGCTACCCTAAAAAAACTGTCTGGCAAGGGGTTGGAACTGTCAAAACTGTCTGGCTATTGGGGAAAATACTTCTAATTATTGCCCCAATATTATACATAAAAATCAGATTTTATAGTATAACGTAAGTCTAACTTTTACGGTGGCTTTTTCTGTATATTCAAAAGACTGTAATTCTACTAACGTTATACCATTAAATCTGATTTTTTTGTATAATATTTGGACAATAATTAGAAGTATTTTCCCCAACAGCCAGACAGTTTTGACAGTTCCAACCCCTTGAAAGACAGTTTTTTTAGGGTAGCTCCCAAAGCCACCACGACCCAAACTTCATAATTCACCAACATTATATCCTATATTGGGAGCATACGCTGACAAACTTTCAGCTTTTATAAAATGACGTAGGTCTGGCGTTCACTAGCTCTTAGTCTATTAATAAATGAGCTAATGATGATTTTTTTATCCACAACGAAGACCCGAACACCCTGGTGTCAGATTTCTGCCAAAGGCGTTTTAAGGCAGCACTTAGGTTAAGTTTAAATACGTTTTAAAACCAGGCTCTTCCCGTGACCTTCACCAGATCGTCGGTCCACCTAGTGCCAGGGCCGGTCGTTGTGGAAATCCTTGGGGGAGGCCTTTGTCCAGCAGTGGACGTCGTCGTATGTCTTGCTTTTTGTCCTATTAAATAAAAATAAATACACGGCTTGATCTGCCCATTTTTTCTAAGAATGACTAAATGCTTTTGTAGTAGGTATATTATATACCCGATATTCCTGTTTTGATATACATACCTACAAGTTATATCAAAACAGGAATAACAAGAACGAAAATCACGCACGAGGCGGAATCGGCCAAGAGGATTAATAACATAAATGGCCTAATCATAATATTAGTTCGCGAGTTGCCAAAACGGACTGCGCAAAAGTTGGGTTGTTCTAAGGCTCATTAATAATCATATCACCATGGGAAGGGCGAGGTCAGGGGTTAAATTAAAGGGATTGTGCTGGAAGTTGGCTTCCAATATATGAAGAAATACGTAGTTTGGTGTTTTATTTAACACTAAGAGCGCTTTCACACTAGAACGTTAGTAGCGCGGCAGTAAACGGAAAAGAAAACACAGTAAGGAAATATGGTGAAGTTATAGACAATCCTTGCTGGACAAATTTCCACTATCAGAAATAGAGAAGACATCTGAAAACCAGTTCAAGAAAATCAATACGGGAATTACGCGACGCGCCAGAGAGTTTACAGAAAGGGAACACAATGACAGTGCTTGATGAAATAACAATTAGAATGAAATAGAATTAGATAATTCTATGGATCAACCTGTTTGTGACAGTATGATGTTCGACGCTCCAATCAACCTCTGACCACGGCCAGTGTAACCTGGCCGAAACGTCACGCGTCAGGCGTATAAAGGTAATATTTACTTATTTCCTAATCGCGTATCACGCCTATGACGGGATATTAAGGTAAAAGCTGTATCTGCACATTATATTAGTTGTAATAGAGTTGATTTTGCTATAAAAATATAGTGTGTTGTGTTGTTGACTTGGATATGACCCTCATTTGGGGTATCTTTGTTAAGTTGCTGCCACATTACTGGAAGCGGCTTAGTGGTTTGTCACGATGACCCCACTAATAATTGCGTTGGAAAAAATGAGTCAATAATAAATGATGTTATAGCCTATAGGGCAGTCGCACGGTTACAAGTAAAACTCATAAAAAAACTCATAAAACTCATTTATTTTTGCAAATAGGCTTTTAAAAAGCACTTTTACACGTCCCAATATTAACCCTACCACTGCTTCGGGACAATAAATGGGCCAGTGCTGAGTAGATTATTATTAAGTATTACAACTCACGACTTAAAAAAATAAGAACCCAATTCATGACTTAAATAAGAATATACTTAATTACCCATACAAAATAAATAAATAAGCACTTACAGGGCAGATATGTACCATCCTAGACTGCATCTCACTTAACACCAGGTGCGATTGCGGTCAAATACTTGTCTTGTCATGAATAAAAAAAAACCAACGCACTGCAAAGGCTTACAATTATTATTTTAATAGTCTCATTGCCATAACTAAGCGTGTCCAAAAAATAATTACTCTTTGCGATAACCTCAGATAACAGTACCTACGTCTAAAAAATAGAGGCGCTCTAAAGCTTCAGTAAAGGTTCGTGGACCATTCTGCCGACCGTAGGTAAAAAGCTTTCAGAGATGTGCGGTCAGTCGGCAAGTTATTGGATCGCACATTCATTTCATTTCCCTTCCCTAACTTTGTATAATGACAGCTTGCGTCCCACCCTGACTTCGTTACTTTATATTTACACCTTTCCTAGCGAGTTACATGAAAATCGAATAAACATTTCTATCAATTTTCTTACATTAGATACAGCCACAGGGGCAGATGAAAGAAGAATGGAGGTGAACTTAAAATTTCCAAATTACCTACTTTTTTATATGCAGAACAACACAGATATTAGACCTGATCTTTAAGTAGATTCAGTATAGGGTAGTGCAAACCAGTAAATACCTAGTTTTTATTGGGCAGTTGAATCTAAAGTACAACTTCCCTAAAAACGCCATTTATGTAAGGCCCGAAAACCCAATTACTTTTCGATTAACTGTAATTATTTGTTTTTTAAATCGATAAGTAAATAAATTATTCAATTGAGTTCACAAACAAGTGACCTAGAAGATTGCTTACAGAATTCTTAAGGAAAACGCGATTTGACAGCTTTTATAAAAACATTGGAAAGAACCCTTCTTTAGGGCAGTGCCAGCATACCCAGAAGTGACTTCAAGTGTAATTTTTAAAGGGTGCCGTTACTTATTGATGTCTGCATTGAGCGCATTAAAGTCTAGATACGGCTCTACATTTTAAAAGTCTATGAAAAACGAAGAGATAGGCTATCGTCAACTGTGCAACTACGAATACTGAAGTTCTATGGTCACGTGATCACGTCTCTAGAAATGAGAACTCGATGGAGAGACTGGTGCTTCAGGGCCAGGTGGAAGGCAAGAGAGCACGCGGTCGATCGCCAACCCGCTCGATAGACGCCATCACAAAGGCCACTGAATCCACAATGGTTTAGTGTACTCGCGACGCCTCTAACCGTCAGAAATGAGAGCACATCGCCAGGAGAACTAACCCCGGAGATGACACCGAACACCCCACCGTCTACCTCGTCAGCCCAACCACGACCACTCTGACAAGAGTGCCAGACTAAGAACAGAAGAAGAAAAACGAAGGGCTCTTCTCTGTTGGTATAATAAATAATATCTTCTTAATTGAAATACCAATCGATCAACATGGAAAGCATTGGGGGAGGCCTATGTTCAGCAGTGGACGTCTTGTGGCTGAAATGATGATGATGATGATGAATTGAAATATAGCATTAGCACATCAACTTCATAATAAGCATGTGTGAGCATTCACTTACGACGATTCCGCACCAATGAGGGCTATCGTTTTTTTACCTAACAGTTGGCACCCCTGACGATTGACAGGATCTTACTCTACAGTGGCGCCATCTTGATGAGTGCAAATGCGATAGTCCTCCTACCACTTTGGCGCTCACCAGCTGGCGCCACTGTCTTCGCTACTAGCAAGTGACAGGACCTTACTCTACAGTGGCGCCAACTGGTGAGCGCTAAAACGATAGCCCTCATTACAAATTCAATGTTAGTATTAGCACAGAATAATAATAAGTACTACGTACAGAAGTTTTACTTCGCGAAGGTATTTAAAAAAATGTATGCTCAATGTCATTAACAATATGGTGTAATTTAGCTTGTCTCAAGAGTCAAGCAAGTTTGTCAGAAGTTTTGTTGACAAACGTCAGTGATCGGTACTGCGCCGAAGCTATAGGGCTGACTTCGGTAAAATGATGTGACGT